TCAATGGGTGCATCGGTATGTGCAGGTAGGCATCGCTTAAGTCTAGTAGTGAGGCTAGCCAGTCGAACCGGTGGCATCTCCATGCGGAACCGATCGAGGAGCACGTACTGATTTAGTCTGCTTAAGTCCAGAACTGGACGCCAGCCGCCTGTAGATTTTGGTACTATGAATACATTTGAGTAGAAGCCTGGACTTAATGCCGGCTGATCTATCTTGTGTATGGTGCCCTTTTTCAGCAAACTGTCTACTTCCTGTCTGCTGGCAGAGATGTCAGTGGTATCCTGTAACCGAGTGTCACTGCTGCCTCCAAACCAGAATGCACCGGCGCAATCTGTGTGTGACAGGGTGTTGGTGCCCTCTCCTCCCATGAGGTGAGTTTCCCCGGGGCCTGTGACCTGGCCTATCACTGAATCCATGCCCATCCCCCCAATCGCAGAGGTAAGTGTCAAACATGCTTCCCCCGCTGCCGGGGTGGACGACCGCCCGAGGAGGATGAGGAGCCACCACCTGGTCTCTTCTTCCCTCCCGTGGAAGGGTATGAGCGCTTGCCTCCTGGCTGACTCTGGCTAGCAGACGTCGCCTTAGGGCTTTGTGTTTTCTGTGCTTGGGGCGCCCTCCATTTACCCTTCGCAGTGGCCAACTGGCTAGCGGATTCGACCTGAACCATCTGGCTCGTTACACTCCGAAGCTCCAAGACTGCACCCGCCATCTCCCCATCGAAGAGGTGGGGGATGTCCAGTCTGCGTAACTGAGGTGATGACGTACTCCCTGACTCAGTTTGCCGGCAAAAACACATGCGTCTAAGACCACTCGTCTCGTTGCACAGTAGTTGCCCCTGCCATGAGAGCCAGGTGACACTGGAGGATGTCGCACATAGCTGTGTGCTGGTCCACCAGTAATTGTCTGGTCTAGGAGGCTGATGCGTTCTGCCACCGAGGTCTCAGAGTCCTGAGCGCGCACAATAATGCGCTCCAGTGTGCCAGCCACATACTCTAGGAAGTTGATATGTCGCAACTCTCCCTTCAGGGTGTGCTGGATCGTCTCAGACTGAACTGGCGAGAACGCCCATGGAACGCAGCCGTCCCCCTTTACCCGGGGAGATCTACTATATTGTTTTCTAACTCACCTATATAGAGATCTACTATATTGTTTTCTAACACACCTGTATAGAGATCTACTATATTGTTTTCAAACTCACCTATATAGAGATCTACTATATTGTTTTGTAACTCAGCTGTATAGAGATCTACTATATTGGTTTCTAACTCAGCTGTATAGAGATCTACTATATTGGTTTCTAACTCAGCTGTAAAGAGATCTACTATATTGGTTTCTAACTCAGCTGTATAGAGATCTACTATATTGGTTTCTAACTCAGCTGTATAGAGATCTACTATATTGGTTTCTAACTCAGCTGTATAGAGATCTACTATATTGTTTTCAAACTCACCTATATAGAGATCTACTATATTGTTTTGTAACTCAGCTGTATAGAGATCTACTATATTGGTTTCTAACTCAGCTGTATAGAGATCTACTATATTGTTTTCAAACTCACCTATATAGAGATCTACTATATTGGTTTCTAACTCAGCTGTATAGAGATCTACTATATTGTTTTCAAACTCACCTATATAGAGATCTACTATATTGTTTTGTAACTCAGCTGTATAGAGATCTACTATATTGTTTTCTAACTCACCTGTATAGAGATCTACTATATTGGTTTCTAACTCAGCTGTATAGAGATCTACTATATTGTTTTCAAACTCACCTATATCAACACATTGCTTCACTCCAACGCACTTTCTGGAAACGCTGGTCGGCGGAGTATCCAGAAGTCATGTGCACGACTCCAATCCCAGTTCAAAGAATCGAAC